AGGAGATTACGAGGTCTCTCTCCTCTGGAGCCTCTGGGTAGGGTCCAACTGACAACCTTTTGGTTAGCAGCCAAAGTGTTGTGCCATCAGGGATCAAATAAAGAAAAAGGAATAAAGGTGAAATAAAGAAAAATCAAGCATGAGCATCGTGGCTGACTAATGTACCAACCAGACCCACAGATCAGAGGCTGCTACAATGTAAGACTTGACTGCAGGAAAGAATTGAAGGCTAATGTCAAATCTGTAATGACATCTTCTAAAGAATCAAGGAGGAAAGTGAAATTCTAATGTCAGAATCTATTCATCTGTGGAAATCTAACACTCAATGTCTTTTAGAATAAAAGCAAATGATATTTAAGGATGTTATATTATGCTTAAAATTTTAGGCTCAAAATTGGTTTAATGTATATTGACAGAAAGTGAATGCCAAGAAAGCCTGCTTTCTTCTGTATGAAATCATATGGCATCAACAGTATTCAAAGACAGCCAATGTTCATACCATTTACACTTGAGCCATAACCTTTTGCAATCTAATGTCTGCTCCCACTGCTTTAACAACATCTACTCTTAAGATCCCATGACTCCCGAATATAAAATCTTCAAGATTTTTATACACTTCACTCTTGTTGCTTCCTTTTTAGGTTCTCTTGGCCATGCTCAGTTATTTTAAAGCATCTTCTCTGGATTTCAAATATTTCAGTGTTCTGGTTCTACCAACATGTACTTTCTTTCTCTCCTTTCTCCCTAAAGGTGGAGGTTTCTAAAAGATTAGTACAGGCAGGTCCTCTGTTCCCTATCTGTTCAACTATCATCTTATATTCTCCTCTAGTCTCAACTCTCACTGTGAGGCAGTTAAGCTATGTGCTAATTACCACCAGTTGTGACACTACCTCAGAACTCCACTCACGTGATTTCAATTGTTTGCTAAATATTGGGAAATGCAATGTCTCAGCAAGACCATAAATCCAACATAACTGAAATTACACTTATATCCTTCCGGCTTTCTTCTGTTTTGTAAAACAGTAAGCCAGAAAACTGTCTGGTCTTTAACTTCTTTCTCTATTTTAGCCTATACAACCAATTAGCTACAAGCATTAATGATTTTTCAGTCTTATTCCCTGACTGTAGTTTTGTCTTACTGCATACCACACTCCACACTCCACTACCAGAGTTGCTGCTGAGTACATTTTGAAACTTAGCCTGGCCATCATTCCATCTACAGCTATAGGTTTAATTGTAAATCTCATAGAGATCAGATTCATCGCACCATCTGCTTAAAGACTTCTCTCTTTACCAGTCTTTTCAACTAGTGCCCTTACACTTTTTCCTGTTTGTCATCTCAGGTTTTTGCTTAGCATTTGTGACAGGTCCTGGTGGTGAGATGCCCCAGCGTTCCTTAGTGAAGCCATTCTCTTCAGTTTCCCTCCAGCTTTGGGATGTCTATGTGACCCAGTTTAGGCAACGAGATGTGAACAAAATATGCTTGTGAAATCCCTTGGGAAGAAAACAGGATTTCTTTTCTTTGTCCCCCATGTGGATATAGATGTAATGGCTGAACTTGCATTGGACTTTTTACAATCATGGGTAAAAGGTAAAGAGTCACAGACTTTTACATACTAACATAACTGAAGTATGTAAATAATACCAGCAATTGCCTTCTTCAAACTTTTCATTTCTGTGGCCAGGTCCCACCGAAATGTAGAGCTTTCTGTATTCTACATTGTTGTTGTTGTGTACCAGAGTCAGAACCGACCCTTCGGGTGGGTTTTCACAGGCAGTTAACAGAACTGGAGGCAATTGCCCATCCCTTTTAAGATTTCTTCTTTAGCTTACCAACTACAGTCCAATCTGACTGTGTATCTTCTGAGTGTCTTATACAGAGTAGATTATCTAGGGTCAAAAGTGGGAGCACAATAACTGACTGTAAGACTATGGAAGAAATTAACAATGTGAGATTGAATTCAATGGGAACACATTGATGAGTTAGAGGTAAGGATTGGGAAACTTCATCTCATGTACTAAGGGCATGTTATTAGGAAAGGCTATTCTTTGGAAAGAGGCATCATACTTGGAAAGGTGGAGGGTCATCAAAGGTGCAGAAGAGCTCCAATATGATGGCTTCTCACAGTGACTTCAGCAATGGGCTCAAGTGTGTCAAATATGATGAGGATGGCACAGGGTAGGACAAGGTTCAAAGCTACTGTTCTTAAAGTCTCTATGATAATTTCACATTCTTATTTTCTTTTTTTCAAAAGAGAGATGGACAATCTCTCCTATGTCATTTATAGCCTTAGAAACCCAATGGAAGGTGAGCCATGAGTTGGCAATGTTTTTAGTTTGACTCTGTAGATTATATTTTAAGTTTTTCCAGGTTTACTCTCTGTATTGTGGCTGTTTTGATATCTGAGAAGTCAAAGAGAAGAAGGAAGAAGTTCAAGCAAATAGAAATGTCATAAGAGAATTTAATCTAGCAAAGGACTAGGATAATGTAGTTTGAAGGGTCATCATGTTAGGAAAGAAACAATTCACTAGAAACAAATGGTAAGAAAACACAACTCAGATATAAAATGGAAATAATATAAAAATATCTCTACTTTAAAGTACTGACTGTTCAATTAGTATCAGCTGAAACAGTGTACCTGAACAAAGGATGTGGATCAAATGAAATTTTGTTAGAAGACTTCCCCAGGTCTGGGATCCCTTTGATTTTTGCAGAAATATAAATCCTTCGTTACCATTCTTAACTTTTACTATAATTTTACTATCCTGTGATGTTAAATTTTCTTATAAGGGTCAAATATGATCCTATTGCAAAGCATTGTTTATAAATTATGAGAGCAATAAATGTGACCTGTTTTATTTTTAAGTTAGAAATCCTAAACAAGGCATCCAATTCAGTGAGGTCTCATTCTCTTTCCCAAATATTTCCTGGGACACCTAGACTCTTACCCAAGAAGATGCATCTTGTATTATGAATTCAATCCAAATTCCTTCAAAACAAAGCAAAGCCCAGTAGGCAATGTGATAGATTTTTGCCACTTTCCACCTGAAATGTGGAGTGGGCCCTTGAGCGTGTGGAAGTTGGCCTCAGCCAGTGTGAAAGCTGGCTGAAATCTTCTTGAAAGGCAGTCTAGGTTTCTCAAAGAAGTTCATGAACTTTGGCCAAACTTTTAGGAACCTGGTCCAAGTCTTAGTTTGCAATGCAACATGAAACCAGGTGAATTTCACATGGTTTTAGGTTTCATCTTAAAAAAAATTTGGCCTAGCTTTATAATCAATCATCACTCTTTGGAATGATGAAAGCCAACACACCTTTTGAAAAGGAGGACTGCATGCAGACTGATGACAGCTAAGCTATGAACCACCCCTTAATTTCCATCGCCAGAAGACAATTTCTCAGAATGGAAACTGTTTTCCTCTTACCCAGAATGGCAAGTTGAATGAGTTTGATATTGTGTATAGAAAGAAATGGTATTCAACACATAGAAATATGTCATGTGAAATAAACATATTCAAGACATGGAAATATGTCATGTGAAATGAACAATACATACACAACAACTGGATATATTATAATAATCTAAAGTGCAGGAGAGGAAGACAGTTGATGAGATAGATTGATTGAGTAACTTGGGCAATAGGGGTTGGTGTGTTGGAGTCAGTGAGACTGGCTCAGAATAGGGCAGGCTTCATAATTGCTGTACATAGGGTCACTATGGATCACAGGTGACTCGATGACACATAACAACAACAACATAGTTATGAAAGTTTTTATTTCATTCCCATCCATGCCAGGAGATTTCATGTTTAATCCCTTAGACTATTAGGATGAGCCCTTGGCTAGAATTATTTATCAACTAGAACAAAAGCCATTCCAGATGAAATGCTCTAGAGTATAGTAATTACTTTTATATTAAGTCAAAGAAGAATTGAGAGGAAAGAACACCATAGCATACATTTTATCTAGTTGAGGAAACACAACGACGTTGTACAGCTTCAGCAAACCTTTCAAGTTTGAATCAGTTCTAACTCTTGCAATAAAATCTACTACTGCAGCATACACTCAACAATTAACTAAGTACAGCATGTTTTCTAGAAAGAGCTACACAATTTCTATTTTCTATGTGCTTTTCCACTGTAGGAAAAGATTATTTTCACCAAATACTTGCTTTTGTGCATAGTGACATGAGAAAATTGAGAGGTATGTCTGAACGGAGTCACTACATCATTGGAACAGTATGTCTGAACATTTGGGTAATAAGGCACAGATGTGAAACAGAGGACTTGGCACTACCAAGGTAACAACAAAGCCTTCACCACTGTGTTGTACTGGTAAGAGAGCCACATTTGAAAAGAAAAGAATATCTCTCCTCTAAGGAATGCTAAAGTATATTATATGTATCTTCAGTGCTAAAATATATTCAAAATATAAAAATTCAGAAAAGTAGTATTCTAACTTGTTATGGAAAACAAAATTAGAAGGCACTAATATTTTCACTATCTATAAGAAAACGTTTATGCAATAGCACATAAAGTTTAACTGCAGGGGGAAAAAGCCACATTCCACGGAAATCGCATGGTCTTTGCACATGCAGAACAATGCATACAATTCTGAAAGATGCAATAGCCGTTGGAAAGGTGGCTGCAGTTGACTTTTTTTTTTTTCCAAATCAAATTATCCTTCATTAATTCTGATCGTAGTTGATTCCAATTGACTTTTAGAAGTAATTCTGACTTCTTAATCAGTAGAGCTAGTTATTGTAATATGGCTCATTGATAGCAAATTAATTAGCACATGACAGATAAAAACGGATTGCATTTTATAAGTAGAATAGCATGCTAGTAGTTATTAAGGCTTTTTCACTTACAGGTAATGTATTTTTTTGCCACCCAACACTAAACCATACAATGCGAAGACAGTTAGGAATCTGCATATCTTCAATCACTGAGTTTACAGCAGAAAGCCATTTTCTCCCCAAGATAGGAAGCATACAACTTACCCGAGGTCCCTGGTCACCTTGTTCTCCCTGTTAAGTAGAAAGAGAATATGACAGCTTCAGAAAAGAATCTATATGTGATGCTCATTTTAAAAATATAACAATGTACTGTAAGTCAAGTTAGTATGCATTTCCACTAATATAACTTGCTTCTCCAATGGGTCTTCTTACCTTATCACCTTTTGGACCAGGAGGGCCCTGAAAAACAGAAAATGGAAAAGATTTTTTTTAGTTAAAAGTTTATTATCTCTTCAGTAGCTCACCTGTTATCACAAATTATAGGCAAGAAACATAAAAACAGACCTGCCAATGAGTTTTTTTAAAAAATTGTGATTTTAATTGTAAATATGGTACATTTATGGTAAAGGTAAATTAATAAATACATGGAAAAGAACATGCTATAAATATATAATATGTTAAATTAAGTTTTCACAAGCCAGACACAGCGCTTTGGGTTTTGTTTGTTTGTTGTTTTTGGGTTTTTTTAGACACAGCTATTTGAATAGCACTTAGCTAAAGGAACAATTCTATCAGCTGCTCAGAAATCCCCATTTTGATGTTTCATCACTTCCCATAGCCATTGTCTTGACCTCTGAATGCACAGGTATACTTGCCTATTCTGTATTTTATAAATGGAATCATATAGCTTTTGCCAATATGTGTAAAAGGTTACCTATAACTTTGTGTATATTTGTAGGCTGTTCATCATTACTGAGGTATAATATCATTGTTGTATGTGCTGCTGAGTCTACTACAACTCATAGTGACCTATGTACAATAACTCTGAATCCTGTGATACCCTGAGCTAATCTCACTGTCTCTGACACACCTAATCCTATTACCCCAGTTACTGTGTCAGTCCATCTCTTATGAGGTCTTCCTCTCCTGTACTGTCCCTTGACCATTCCAAGCATGGTACCACTGGTCCCTCCTGGCTCCATGCCCAAAGGATGTGAGATAGAGGCTCAAAATCCTTGCCTCCAAGGAGCAGCATGGTTTCGCCCTCTTCATAAAAGACCTGTTTATTATCTTGGCAGTCCATGGTACGTTTAAAACTGTTCTCCAGCACCACAGCTCAAAAGTATCAATTCTTCTATCATCTTTATTTATTGTCCAACTCTCCAATATGTAGCAGGATATTGAGAAGATGATGGCCTGAATTAGGTACACTTTATTTGCTCAATGCAATAGGTCTCCTAATTTCCTGATTGCTGGTAACATGGTACTGATTATTGATCCAAACAAGATGAAATTATGAGAGAGCTTCAATGCTTTCTCCATTTATCATAATGTTGACTGCTGGGCCCGTGGTGATGATCCTTGTCTTCTTGATATTGAAATGTAATTCATATGAAAGGCTGTAGTCCTTGATCTTCTGAAGCAGGTGTTTCCTATCCTCCTCACTTTCAGCAAAGTTGTCTCATCAGCATAGAGCAGGTTGTTGATGAGTCTTCCTCCAATTTTGATGCTCCACTCCTCTTCATAGAATCCAGTTTCATAAATTTGCTTAGCATACAAGATACAACTCTGATGCATACCATCCCTGATATTAAATGATGCTGTGTTCCCTTGCTCTGTTTGCACAACAGTTTCTTGGTATAGATATAGATGTTATATTAAGTATTCTCTGGGATTCCCATTCTTCTCAATGTGAGCTATAATTTGTTATGATCCATGCATTTAAAGCCT